ATGCCCCTGGGCTCTGAGGGAAAGCAGGGGGTTCTTCCAGGGATGATCATCTCCTCATGCCACTGGAGGGGGACAGGGCACGGGTGTCACCACCAGTCCTGAAAGACAGAGCCCCAAATGTCACCCCCAAAGTCCACTGCAACACGAGAGGGGCCTTGTCCTGACCCCTCTCCCTGCAGGCACTGCTCACCTCAGCCATCCAGGGATGCAGCCACGCCTTTCTCACCAACAGGACCCACCACCTTCTCAACCACAGGGGGCTGGGGACAAAGACAGGGTTAGGGACACACTGGGTGCAGTGGGATGTATTGGGAGCCTGGGGGAAGAAATGGGATCCTTGGGGAAGGTGCACTGGGGTATACTGGGGCAGACTGGGATGGATTGGGAGTGTCATGGCCATGTGAGGGGAGGACCCAACTCAGGCAGAACTCCTGGTACCCACCTGAGCCATCTTCAGGATCCCAACTTCCACTAAATGCAGCTGGAGAGAGAGCAGGAGCCCTGGCTGGTCACTGGGATGTCCCCGGTGCCAGCGAGGGATGGGGGGCCCAAAGTGTCCCCCAGTTCCCAGACTGGATGCCCTCCAGTCCCCCCGGCCCACTCACCTCCCGCAGATCATTTTGGGTTCCTGCCAAGAGTGCCTGGGCAAGGAGAGCAAAGGGTTAAGCAGGATTGGCCCCTGTGGGGCTGGGGGAGGGACACGGGGGTCCCCAGCCCCCCCAGCCCAGGGCTGCCCCCGTCTGAGGGGGAAAATCCCTTCTGCTCCCCCTGCTCCCACTGCCCCCAGTTTCACCTCCAACCCCTGTTCCTGCAGGGCCCAGGGTGGGGATGGAGACAAGGAGAGCCAGGGGAATTCAGGGCCTGCAGGGACGGTGGGGGGAGGTTGGGGGGGACCCAAAGATGCTGAACTGGGGGGAACTGGGGAGCCCACGGGACTGGGATTGGGGTGTTGAAGGGGCCCTGTGTGGGATGCAGGGGAGGGGAAAGGAATTCAAGTGTAGGGACATGGGGACTGCAAGGGAGAGGCTTGGTGGGGACAGGAGGAGGATGATGGAGGAGGACAAAAACAAGGGCAATGGGAGATGGTTGGGAGTGGAGAGGGAGGCAAGGAATGGTCTTGGGAGGTACCAGGGCAGTGGCCTGGGTGAAAGGCAAAGGTCTGAGGGGAAGGATGGAAAGAAAAGCTTTGGGAATGATCAGTGGGAGGATGTTTGGGACCCTGGGTAGGACACAGAGCAGATGCTGGGGAGGAGATGCCTGAGGGGACCAAAAAGGATGGGATGGGATGGGAGGCCCAAGGGGTGGGATTTGGGAGCACCATTAAAAGAAACAGGTGGGGGCCCTCCCAGCAATTGACAGTGGACCTCCCTTGTCAGGGATTGCTGAATGGCTTCCTGCCGTTGCATCTTTCATTTCTTATCAAAAATCACCCAAATAGTTTTCAAACAGTGCCTGCCAGAGGAGCTTGAAGGCACTCGTTCCATCAAAGCCATACCTGTAATTCAGGGGCATAAATAGAGAATGTAGATTTGTCTCTTAAGGTGCTGTCTCATTTCTACTAGAGGTCAATTAGTACCATGTAAAACATGATCATTAAAATTAAAAACTCTTACCCTTCTATTTCCCTTTGAAAAATAATTCTGCTGTTAAAACTCTCAGTTCTGTTTGATTGTTTAAAATCCAAATGAATGTGTGTACTAGTGGACACAGACAGGGCTCCCTCACAGAGAAGCCCATGAAGTATGGGCTGGATGAGCAGACAGCAGGCTGGTTGAAATCTGCTGGCTGGGGTGGTGATCAGGAGTGCAACATCCAGCTGGAGGCCAGTGATCAGCAATTCCTGGTGAACATCTTCATTGATGATCTGGATGATGGGATATAGTGCTCAAGTTTAATGGAGCTGATGAGTTTACATTCCGACTGCAAGGAACATGTTTTCACATCTGAAGCAGGGGATGGGAAACCAGAGACTCACTGTGAACACCCAATGATTTCCAGAGCCTTTCCAGAGCACTTCATTCCAATCCAGGAATTTTGGATTAAAAAATCCCGGTGCTCCTCCATTACTCTGGAAAGGGGACCCTGGTCTGTCGGGAGTGAGGACATTGCTGAATCTGAAAGCTGGAGAAGACAACAAGAAATGTGTGACCCTCCAGAGGATGAAAGCCCTGGATGAAGTTGTCAAGAAGTTCAGACCCAAAGCCTTTCGAGTTTTACGGTTGTGTCTAAACATTTACTGTAGTTTTTCCCTTGTTTGTCCCCTGAAATTGTTTGATGAAAAATCCCCTTGATGTCTGTATCCTTAGACCCCGCTCCCTGATTGGCCAAAGTTTGCTGCATTGCAGTATTTCCTTTTTGGCCACCCTTTCCCTAAAATGGATAAACCCTACCCCCTTTTTCCCTTATCCAGTTACACTTTGCATGCTGGGGTCCCATCTGGGGGGCCAGGAAGAGCTGTGCTTTGGGACCAATTACCTCTGCAGCTGCTCGTATGCCTTCATAGGCTGCTAAGATTTCCTTCTCCTCAGGGGTGGAATTGGCCTCAGAACCTCTGTAGCTTCGGCTCCAGAAACCCAGTGGTCGCCCTCACGTCTCACCAGGCACCTTTGGCCAGAGGCTCCAGGAGGGACCTTTATCTCCAGCTGCAGAGTAGAGCACATTCTTTACCTCTGGTCCTGTCCTGACAGCTCCAAGAGCCACGGCATGTGCAATCTCTTGCTTGATCTGCCTGAAAGCTTGTTGTTGTTCAGGACCCCACTGGAAATTGTTCTTTTTACGGGTCACAAAGTAAAGAGGGCTCACCATCTGGCTGTACTCTGGGATGTGCATCCTCCAGAAGCCAATGGCTCCCAGAAAAGCTTGGGTTTCTTTCTTGTTTGTGGGTGGAGCCATTGCTACAATCTTGTTGAGGACGTCTGTTGGTATCTGGTGTCGTCCATTTGCCATTTCAGCCCTAGGAACTGGATCTCTTGGGCAGGGCCCTTGACCTTACTCTTCTTGATGGCAAAACAGGCCTCGAGGAGAATCTGGATGATCTTCTGTCCTTTCTCGAAAACTTCTTCTGCTGTGTCCCCCCACAATGATGTCATGGATGTACTGGATGGATGGATGGGGGTCACAGCATCTCGGTTCCTCCGATACTGTTGCCTGTGTACAGTTGTCGTGGCCGTTGGCACTTCTTGTCCCCAAAGCTCCAGCGATTCCTTTCGTACAACAAGGGGACCAATGCAGCACCACCTCTCCAATTTTAAGTAGCATTTTCGCTGCCCTCACCACTAGGATCATTGTCACTGAGCAATGTAGGGATGGGTTAGAGCTGATCTTGGAGTCTTTGCTACCAAACCTTGAAGGCCACCATCAAGGAAACTGGCTACTAGGCCGTGGGTGTCGAAATTAAGGAAAGGAAGCAATTCGTTCCATCCATCTGAACGGTCCCTCACAGGATGTCCTAGGACAGGCACAAAACCAGCAAGAATCAGGAATAAAATTAGTAAAAAGGCCATTGTTATTATTTTCCCTTCTTGTTCCTAAACAAAGCTATGTTTAGATAAACAAAATCCTTCTTGGCAGCTCTCCCAGGAGTGTCCCAAAACAATGGGGGATGTTGACAAAACAAACCTGCTCTTGGCAGCTTTCCCAGACAATGTTCCCACAACAAAACCAAAGGAACCAAAACAATCCCACTTCTGACACCAAAACCATCTGTAGCCAGTTGGAGTTGGCTTCCTGCCAAACCCCACAGACTACAGAAGATTACTACGTGTAAATTTAGGGTAGAACTTAGGTGGGAGGTTCCTGTGCCACAGAGCTCTTGCCCACAGTTTCTCTTGGAAAAGAATGGAGTTCCACAGCTCATTGCTTCCATTTCAACCTTTTTGGGCCTTTGACCACTCTGGAAAATCTGTACCAACCTGATGAGCAGAAGTCTTGGGCTTTACCACAGGTGTCTGGGTGGTGTTCTGAGAGCCAGACTTCTGCTCAGTCCCAAACTGAGGCCAACATGTCCCAGGCCAGGTGAATCCAGAAGTGGACTTGCAGCCAGAAGTCCGCTGACAGCGCTGCTTGTGACCACAGATCTGCTTCTGTGGCGCTCCAAAAAGAGCTTGGTGTTGGCCACTGCAAGTCTCTCAGTAGCTCTGAAACATTCACAAGCACACACAGAGTCATCTTTGGCAGGAAGGCTTTCGCAAAGTTACCCTCCACAGCCTTGGCTACTACTCGACTTCTAAAAGCCAAGGGCATGAAGAGTGTCCAAACCCAGCACATCCTTTGATCTGAGCTTGTTCACAGGGCCTGTTTCTAAGAAATCACACCAAGTGCAAGGAGCAGCCAGTGGCACCTCCAGAAGAACTCTGGGCTACCCTGGCCTTCTCAAGGAAAGCTCAACCCTCAGACCCGCTGCCAAAACAGAAGCCAAGAAAGAGCCGCCTTATTTTGGATTCACAGAATCCAACTCTCTTCTCCCAGAGGCCTCTCCTTATTCAAACAGGAAAGGGCACAAGATTCAGCTTTTCTGTCACCCACGGGATGAGGAGAGTTGAGACTGGCAAAAAGACTGCCTGCTAAAACAACCTCAACTTGAAAAGACACCAATAATGCCAGAGTGGTGCTGCTGTGGGGTTACTGCTGGAACTCTAAAGAGAAAGGAAGACAGGTCTGAGGAAGGGAAGGCTCTGAAGGAACTTTCCCCACAAAGATGCCACGTTCTGCTTTCACACCTGATGCTGGCCAGATGTAGAAAAGGGATTGCCAAGGAAAATGCAGGAGGAAAAAGGAGTCTGTTCTTACCAGTCCAAAAAAGCAGGGACTTACCTTTCCAGTTTCTTGGTGAGGCTTTTTCTTCTTTGGGCTTCCACCAGATACAGCTCTTTGTACTTGTCCACTTCTGCCTGGGTGGATTCCTTTTGAAAAGGTCTTTCTGCTTGGTTGCTTTTTGTCCTTCCCAGTGCACGTTCCAGATCTCTAATTCTGTCTTCTAACTGTTTTTTCAGTGAGTCCACGACTGCTTCTGATTTCTTCTAAGGTGTCCTGGTGGGCTGCCTGTGCCTGAAGGAGACAGTGCACCTTCAACCACCACAAGAAAAAGAGAGCTCTGCCCAGCACAAAATTGCACACACCCACTTTCAAGGGCCCAGCCTTACTCAGAGAGGCGGCTCTGCCTCCTCACTCCCAGCAGCAACCAAGGCAGAACCCAGGAGCTGCCAGGGCAAACAATTCTTTGCAGTGGGAAAGAAGCCCAAATGAGCACTCTGCTTCAAAGCTACTAATGAAGAGACACTGGGTCTGTAGGACAGGGCATGTCCAAAAGGATTCTTCAAAGACAAGAAGAGCTTCCACATCCACCTCCACCCTCTCCCTCCCATCCCTGGAATTTCAGTGACTCCTTTTCTGAGCACTTTCACCCCCTCTAAGGACAAAGCAGCACCTGTAGGTCTGGCCATGACAGCTGCAAGTTGCCAAACCCATCCAAGGATGAGCAGTGAGAAGCAGAGCAGCGCACAGAGATCCCCCCAAGCACTGCAAAGTGGGAATCTGCCTTGGGCAGCCTTTGCATTCAGGGACCTGCCACCACATTCCACACCCATGACAGCACTCCTGCCCAACCAGATTGCCTTCTGCCACTGCCTTCAGCAAAGACAGAAGCTAACCCACAGAACACAGGAGCAAAAGAAAAAGACCAAAAACCATGGCCACAAGAGAAGTTTACGTAGCACCTGTGGACACTGGGGAGAAATTCACTTACTTGCAAAAACTCATTGACTTCTTGGAGTTTTTGTCTTATTTCCTGGTCTGCTCGTTCTTCCACCTCTCTTTTGCACTGTTCGAGTTGGCTGCGATCCACCACGTTGGTCTCCAAATGATGGTGGAGTTTTGCCAGCTCTTCTTGCAGCTGGCATTTGTCCATGGCCAGGTTCTCGCACTCCCCACGCAGGGCAGACAGCTCTTCTTGCAAAGCCTGATTTTTGGCCTCCAGCTGCGTGCACTGTTCACGTTCCCTGTCCAACTGCTGGGAAAGTTCAGCAACCTGCAGACAGAAGGAACAAAAAAGGAACTCAGCGTGGTGTAAAGGCAGTGAATTCCTGGAAAACCTCAAAAGGGGGTGACCAGGGAGACTTTATTCATCATCTGCTGGCTCAGGACTAGACACAAAGTGCAACCAGGCTTTTCTTTTCCAGCAAGAACAGCTTTCCCATCATTTTTCACGGGATTCCTCAGCTTCCCATCCTTTTGGAGTTCCTCATGCAAAAATGCTCCAAGCTTCTGGACTCCAAAGGAATGACTGCAAAGGCAGGAAGCCATTCTACAGGGATGCCTTCAAACCCAAGCGTGACTCTGACAGACGCCGCTTTAGCAACGGATCCGAGTGACGAGCGGAGAAGGGATGAGAGGTTCTGTGCCACTGCTGCACAGGCACAGCAGCCTCAAAAGCACTGCTGGGAACAGTCCTTCGGGCTCCCCGCCACAGGATGGGCTGAAACAGCTCCCCGTGAGCAAGAAGGGACAGATTTTCCCCTGGGAGGCCCCTGTCCTCCTTGGGCCCTGGGCAGCAACAACACTGTGGAGAAAAGCCAAACCTCAAGGGCCTCCTGCTCAGCTCGTGCCTGAGACAGGGCTCAGGGGCTGATGGTGCCCTGCCAGTGACAGCGCTGTTCCTCCCCTCTCTGCCAGGGCAGCAATTCATCTGGCACACCCAGAGGACGCTGTCACAGCCTCCCTCCAGCTGCAGCCAGGCCTGAGCTGGGCCCCACTGCTCTCAGCCCATGCACGTGATGTCCTGCCAGGACGGCAGACCTGCCCATCCCTCAGGCCCAGCCGGGGGATCTGCACTCTTGGCTGACCCCGCTCACTCTCAGGGGACCTGTTCTGCTCTTCTTGCTCAGGGCCTGTGGGACGGCTCCCTGGCCCGGGAGCTCACGCACCCTGCCAGGCTGGCTGCCACTCCTGGCTTGCCCCTCCTCTGCAGGACAGCCTGGCCTCCATCAGCCCTTACACCTACTGCTTTGCCCTTAACATTTGCATCTTTCCCCAGAAGGAGAACTACCCCGGATTAGTTCGAGTCATCTCCCACTGGAACAGCAGGAGGAGCATTAAGAAAAGCCCATCACATCCAAAATGCAGCCAAGGGGAAAAAAAAAATCATCAGCATGACAAGAAACAGAGGGAAAGCATCTCCCAGCTTTCAAAAGAAGGAACACCACAACCAAAGAGCCCCACCCAGAGCGCAGCTCACCTCTCTTTGGAATCCATCCAGCTGGGACTGACTTCCTTTCTCTTCATTAACCCGGAGTTTCCTCCTCTCTATCCTCAGAAGCTTTTCCAGCCTGCACAGCAAATTAGTGAAGAAAACCATGGAACACAGGAAGAACCAGCCTTTCCCCCACAGTCTCACAGAAACAGCACAGACAGCATCCAAGCCTAGAATGGCTTGGCTTGGCAGGGACCTTAAAGATCATCCAGTTCCAAGCCTCCTGCTGTGGGCAGGGACACCTTCCACCAGACCAGCCTGTTCACAACCCCATCCAACCTGACCTTGAACACTTGCAGCCATGGGGCATCCACAGCTTCTCTGGGCAACCTGTTGCAGTTCCTCACCACCCTCACAGCAACCAATTTCTTCCCAGGATCAAATCTAAACCTATTCTCTTTCCATTTGAAGCCATTCCCCCTTGTCCTCTCACTACCTGCTCTTTTAAATGCACTCTCTTCATCCTTCTTGTAGGCTCCCTTCACACCCCAAAAGGCCACAATTAGGTCACCCCAAAGCCTCCTCTTTGCCAGGCTGAAGGGTTGCAATTGTCCCAGCCTTTCCTCCTAGCAGAGGTGCTCCATCTTTCCAAGCACCTTGGTGGCCTCCTCTGGACTCAGTCCAACAGCTGGAGGTCCTTGCTGTGCTGAGGAGCCCAGAGCTGGATGCAGCCCTCCAGCTGGGCTCTCCCAAGGGCAGAGCAGAGAGGCAGAATGCCCTCCCTCCACCCGCTGGCCACGCTGCCTTGGACGCAGCCCAGGACACAATTGGCTCTCTGGGCTGCGAGCGCACATCGCCGGCTCATGTCCGGCCTCTCCTCCAGCCCAAGGGCTTCTCGGCAGGGCTGCTCTGCCCCTCTTCATCCCCCAGCCTGCACTGATACAGGGGCTGCCCTGAGCCACGGCCAGCAGCTTGCACTGGCTCTGGTTAAACCATCAGCAGATTGCCATGGGCCCACTTCTCCAGCTGGTCCAGGGCCCTCTGGGTGGCATCACCTGTGTCAACCACACCCCTCAGCTTGGTGGCAGCTGCAAATTTGCTGAGGGCACACTCCATCCCTTCCTCTGGATCATTAGTGAAGACATTAAAGAACACTGGGCCCAGTCCAGACCCCTCAGGGACACCACTCGGCACTGATGGCCCTCAGCACTCTGAGCCATTGATCACCACCTCTGCATGGCACTGTTCACCCAATTTCTTCTCCATCTAACAGTCCACGCATCCAATCCATCTCTCTCCACTTTGGAGAGAAGGATGTTGTGGGGGACTGTGTCAAAGGCTTTCCAGAATGACAGGGAGATGACATGGGTAGCCCTTGTCCACTGAGGCAGTCACTCCATCTTAGAAGGCCACCAGGTTGGTCAAGCAGGACTTGCCCTTGGGGAAGCTGTGCTGGTGCTTCCAATCACCTCCCTGTCATCCACGTGCCTTGACAGAGCTTCTAGAAGGATCTTTTCCATCACCTCCCCAGGCACAGAGGGCAGGCTGACAGGTTGGCAGTTCCCAGGACCCTCCTTTCTACCCCTTTCAAAGATGGGCACAGTGGGTTTCCCTTTGTCCCCTCACCTGGGACTTCCCCTGACTGCCACGACTTTTCAAATATCAAGGAGAGGGTCTTGGCAACTCCATCAGACCCTGTTGGCCAATGGAGGGCAATAATGCTGGCCAGATGGAGAAGATGGATTTCCAAGGAAAATGCAGGAAGAAAAAGGACTCTCTTATTACCACTCCAAACAAGCATGGACTTACCTTTCCAGTTTCTTGGCCAGGCATCTTCTGGTTTTCACTTCCTCCACATACAGCTCTTTGTACATTTCCATCCCTCCCTGCGTTGCTTCTTTACGAGAAGCTCTCTCTTGTTGGGTGTTTTTGACCCTCTCCAATTCACTTTCCAGATTTTTAATTCTTTCTTCCAACTGGATTCTCATGGATTCACAATGAATGTCTCCAGTTTGTCCTAGTGGGGCCTGGTGGGCTGCCTGTGCCTGAAGGAGACAGTGCACCTTCAACCACCACAAGAAAAAGAGAGCTCTGCCCAGCACAAAATTGCACACACCCACTTTCAAGGGCCCAGCCTTACTCAGAGAGGCGGCTCTGCCTCCTCACTCCCAGCAGCAACCAAGGCAGAACCCAGGAGCTACCAGGGCAAACAATTCTTTGCAGTGGGAAAGAAGCCCAAATGAGCACTCTGCTTCAAAGCTCCTAATGAAGAGCCTGTGGACACTGGGGAGAAATTCACTTACTTGCAAAACGAGGCTGACCTCTTGTAGCTTTGGACTTCTTTCCTGGTCAGCTCCTTCTGCCACCTCTCTTGTACACTGTTCTCTTTGGCTGCCATCCAGGACCAAAGTCTCCAAATGATGGTGGTGTTTTGTCATCTCTTCTTGCAGCTGACATTTGCTCTTCTCCAGTTGTTCACACCTCCCAAGCAGAGTGGACAGCTCTTCTTGCAAAGCCTGGTTTAGGGCCTCGAGCTGCATGCCTGTTCCAGGCTCCATGTCCAGCTGCTGGGAAAGTTCACCACCCTGTGCACAGAGAAATAAAAGAAAAGGAAACTCAGCGTGATCTAAAGGCAGTGAATTCTGGGAAAACCTCTCAAGGGGGTGGCCATGGCAACTGTATTTATCATCTACTGGAAACCAGCCTAGGAAACACCTGAAAGATTCCCCAACAGAAAGAAGAAACTTTACACCTACTTAAGAATTTGGGAGACACTTCTGGCAACAATACTTCTGGGTCCCTTGGAGCTCATGATGAAACTCCTCATTTAGAATCTAAGAATTCCTCCAGTGTCCAGCACACCAAATACCCTCAGGGCTTTTGTAGCAGCTGGGGAAAGGACCAGGCTGCTTTCTGAGCAGCCTCTGCTGAGGAGAAGGCAGAAACTGAGCTCCCCAGGCTCTGCAGGAAAACTTCATCTGACAATTGCCCCACAGAAATAGGCAACTAGGCTCAAGAGTCACAAGAAGGGAAATTTAGCACCAGCTTACTGAGGCAGAGGCTTGCAGGGCTCTCGGAAGGGCTTCAACGCTCTCGCTTGGCTGCTGGACAGTGCCTTCCAATCTGCTGTTCTCACTTGCAAAGCTTAAGAAGAAATACAGCTCTTCTTACCAGAAAATCCAATGCCAGACAAACTGTGCT